CAGTGTCTTTTCACCAGAAAGGTATCTTGAATAAGCAAGTTGTGTTGAATGTGTGTGTTGTGCTAGCATGACAACTCCATAGTTGGATGATGGTATTTCATTTAATCTGTAGTGATGCGACGTCTGATTTCGGCTAAATAACAAAGTATGTATTCAAATAAATTTGCTAACAGATTATGGAAAACTATTAAATATTTAATTTGTGCATCAAATTCATTGTTTTGCCTTATTAGAACTTCAGTGTTAGAGAGCTTTTAATTAGTAGATTAATATTCTTTATAGCTTAAGCCATGTTAGTACTTGGCGATAATGAAATGAACGGCTAATAAATGGACAATTGCAAAGCTTACTTACATATGAAATACAGGTAGGTATGATTAGAAATTTGTCAAATCCCTTTAAAAAAATCAAGTTTTTTATGACATCGTAACTTTTACTTTCGCATCAAATCCATATTTAAGAGCTTTTACAACAGATTGGGATGCAGGCCGTGATGCGTTTTGATACCAGCCTAGGTGCAGATTATAGATTGCTCAGATTTGAATGCTTTGTGTTGATCATTGAGTCACTAAAGTTGAGTCCTCATTTTTGTCCATTCTCTGCCATTCTCTGGTTTCAGGAAAGAAACGACCAGCTTGCAGCCCAGTTGGCTAATTCTGTTCCAATTTCTGAGCAGGAGACACTTCGGCAGACGTTGAAGAGTGACTTTATTTCTCGAGATGAGCACGTGCAACAATTGGAGGCCTTTCAACGCGAGTTGGATGAGGCTCATCTTGTTGCAAAACAGCTGCATAGGGCTGCCGATCAAGCCAATGAACACTTGTGCCAGGAAAAAGTAGGTTTATTTAAATGTAACTTATCGGATGTATTATTAAATAATTCTTTGTTTTCATTTTAATTCGGTACTCACGGCAAGTCGTTAACTATAATGCAGACTATTAAATGTCTGTACTCCTTCGTTGGTCAACTAATTTTAGGAATTACCTCATTAAGTTATTTCTATCTCGATGTGGTTCTGCTGAATGTTGTCGTAGGTTCTATTAGTCGGTTTAAGCTTGTTCAATCTAGACGCACAATCGTTTGTTGTTTTATTCTATTAAATGTTCAGTTATCCTGGATGATTAAATTATTGTTGGCTCCTTAGTTGTGACGAAATTCTCCTAGTATCTTCTGATATGCTTTCCTGGTGGGCTGTGAGTGAACCATATCAGCGCAAAGCTCTATGCCGTAGGTAATGAAATGATTTCATTGCCTTGTTATATAAAGTAGCATTGTAATCCAGCTGTAAATCTCCAGCCATTGGTTAGTCACTAGCTCAAACTCTGATATACAACGAAAGGAGACTCCGACCACACAAAAGGCCACACCATCTTGGTCTTCATACCTCTTTCTTTCATTGGTCTTCTGAAGCATCTTGGTATTTTGCTACAATATTTTCAACTACTCTGCCATTAGAGTCTTAATTTTTATCGCCGCATTTAAGGTAATCTTTGATTCCTACA